CTGAATCCGTTAACTTCTAAACGGGTCGACAAAAGGACTCATGCCACCATCCTCAATTTCGCTTCAATTACGAATCGAAGAACACCAACGCCTGTTCATGATTCAAGTATGATTCACATTTCGGTTGCAATGGATGTGGAGGTCAGGAATGAAGCAGCTTTGTCCGGAGACACGGGACTGCCGTTGAGGTATTACCCTCATTGTCAGACTCATGTTTGCCGCTACTTCAATAATATGTTTCATTTCGACCTGCCCATGTTCCTCAAATTATTTGACTTTTGATTACATGGTTTGATGGAAGGATTTCAGACAGCACGAATGCAATGACGCGCAAGGTACACGGTAGGCGAACCGGACACATGTCGTGTGTGAACGTAAAACGGGTGTGCATGTAGTTTCACTGCATGTGGTTTTATGATTAATGGGATTTTTAGATCATCCGTATGATTGAATTATGTTAAATCGCCTCCCTTATTCCCACGCGATGCTGCCCTCCTCTCTGCTGCTGCCCAATTATAGTTGATTCTTTGTAGATCTTGCCAATGCACGTTGGGTTTAGGCGCTCTTACCGCTCTTATTAGTTGCTTACTTTGCGCTCCTATAATGTGTTGACGGGTGATTTGGGTCAGTTCAGTAACCCTCAGTTGGCGACATCGACAGAGAGCACAGTTTTTCTATCGCCGAAATTTTGTTTTAGTTGGATGGTACACGAATTTCATAAAATTTCGGTCTCAAAGAATTTATTCCCTTATTCGTGTATAAATTCAATGACTCAAACGCGACCCACTTGCTCACTGTGAGAGCACCGATGCCGAGTTGTGGAGTCTGGAATATGTCCAACATGCAGCTAATAACCTCATCTCTATCTTGCAATGTATGTCGTACTAAGACTGACATAGAATATTGGTGCTATACACACTGTATTAGCGGGCAAAACGTGCAACGATGTGCCGCATGTAATATCTGGGTGACATTCCTATGCTGAGGTCGTTTCTTCTATTTTGCGCACCGAGTAGTACACATAGAAATCAGTAAAAACATGTAGACTCTGAGTTGAAGCGGATAACCCCCTCTTCATCCTTTACACGTCGAGTGGGTGTATCTTGGAACAGTTGTCTGAGACAGTAGTCGAGACGAAATCAGTGTCGAAATTCTGCTATTTCCCAGATGCCCATTTTGCGAGGTATGTATCCTGAGAGTACATCGCCTCTTGATCAGACATAGGGCAATTGAAATGCGTTGCAAATGTGCCGTAATAATTTGCGGTAATTATTGTGTGTTTTGACAAAATGACCATGGATCAACGTAGGTGTTTACGTCCTATTTTTCAGCTATCAATATTCACTGATGGTATGCGCCTAGAGATGCAATGCTGCATAAGTTGAAACATTAATTGGGACACATTTTGTATGGTATCCAATAATGATTCCCATTTGCGTTCTGTTTTCTAAGAAAGTACCTGCCGTACGTCAGTTGTAAACGAGGGAAGAAGCTATAAAACTCAACCCAGTTAAGTAAAATTTGACATCGGACGGTGGTCCATTTGAACTCAAAAACAAGGGTTACCGGCACCAATAATGCAACTGACACTAACAGAATTATAAAACAGTTAGTTCCCTTCAATAATTTGAAAAGCACGGAAAGAAGATGAAGGCTGGTAGATGCATGCATTTCGTATAGTCTCCTCAGTACCATTAACAATAACCGCCATGCATAGATGGATGCAACCAGACAAGCTTAAGGTGCAGTACGAATGGCCAAAGTTCACACCTATGTACAAGGCAGCTTTGGGCTGACAAATAATTGTTTCTGAATGCACAAGGCTGGCTTAATCCGGCTTATGGTGACGGCCTCAGCAAACCGAAGGAAGCGGGGATTAGTGTGACGTAACAAAACTTTAAACTAATGTTGGATGTTTGTGAGTAGTAAAGTTTGTAGAAATTAGTAGTCACGATTAAAATTCACGCGCAATAACACTAATCTACTATCGACCATTAGGCATTCAAAGGATAGTTACTTTAGCCCATTGGGAAGTGAGGGGTGAGTGAGCCAATCTGCAACACTAGGACAGGTATTGTGAGCCTATTGGCAATACGTCGCGCACCAAGCAGAAGTCATGTGTTAACATTTGCGCACCTAATCGTCAGCCCTCGGTAGCTGAGTGGTAGAGCAGCGGACCGGAAATTTGTGCGCCGGGGTTCGACTCCCAGTCGAGGCATATTATGGTGCGTGAATTTTAATAGTGACTTCTACTTTCTAAAAACTTTAAACGTTGAGCCCAACTCCATCCGATCACCCGGGTCTAATAGGTGTTTGCCTATCGAGGAAGCCGGCGATCTGCGCGAACATGAAATCTGACGACGGTAGGCAATCTGAGCAACTTCACCTTGAACCCATCTTGGTACATGTTACTTTATTCGGGAAGTCGGCGTTCTATTAGTTATGCCCATGTAACTTTGTCCGCAGTCACATACAAATTGGTATACGCAGTGTGAGTTGGCCCCAATAGGCTGAGCTTCCTTCGTTGGAGGTATGGGCAAAGTTCGGGTTCGGTTGCTGACGACAACTTGTGCAGCATAGTAACTTCCTTGTGTAACCGAAATTATACGCTTAGTTGTCTTCAGCCTGGCTAACTGAACTTTGAAAGTTGAATCGCTATACACTTTCTTCTTAACTGCATTGTGCACCAAGTCCTTTGGCCCTCGCGGTTGGCTGTGTTTCACCATAAATCTTCGAGGGTAGCAGTTCTCCATTAGTGTTGATGTAATTAACACTAGCTCATCGTCCAGACAGTCGGCCGAACAAATTCGTCTGACACGACTAACTAGAGTCTTCACAAGTGTCCGTTTGTACCGCACTGGTGTGAAGCTGGTAAAGTACAAGTACTGACCGGATCAAGTTGATTTTCGGTAAATGGACCTCTTAATCAATTCATCATCCCTGCGAGTTATGAGTATGTCCAGGTATGGCAGACAATTGTTCTGTTCTGTGTCGCATGTAACCGGTAATTTAGCATGAGGACCATTGAGCCGTTCTACCAAATGTGTGAGCTGCTGCTTCGACGAACAGAAAGTCAAGATATCATCGACATATCGTTTGTAGTAGGGCACCTAGGCTATTTCCGTAGAAATGCTTCTTTCTACTATCAAAATGAAGAAATCAGCGAGCACAGAACCTAATGGGCTACCTATTGCTAGGCAGTCAATCTAAGGGTATGGTGTTTTCCGGGAGTGAAAATCCACATTCTCCGTGCACAATAGTAGAGATTCTCTTAGCGATTCAGTCGGAATTGGTAACCAACAGCCACCGGTTTCAGCTAATTCGCACACGTACTCAACCGTCTGATATAGCGGCACGTTGGTAACTAAGGATTCTACATCCAAGAAACATACGACTTTGTCTGATAGGTTGAGTTCATCCAGGTCATCAATGAGTTGAAACGAGTCTTTAAGACTGTACGGATTGAACTGTTGTTTCACCGGAGCTAGCAACTTCACTAACCAATGAGCGAGTTTGTGCTGGTGCTCGTTCATCATTAAAAGCATTGGCCTGAGTGGCACTTCACTTTTATGCGTTTTGGGGACCCATACAACTGTGGAACAGTGCCACCACTCGGCTCCAAACTATTAAATGTATCAAACTCTATCAAACGGTGGAAAAGAAGCAATTCGAGGTGACGAACTATGCGCGTTTCGACATTGGTTATGTCCCCCACTTTCGTGTGCCGTTCCAATTTACTCGCATAGTTGAGCATGGCGTACATCTTCACATTGTATTCAGTTTTGTTCATGAGTACCACTTCTAAACCTTTATCTGGTTTCATTACGACTACGCCCTTAGCTCGTAGTTCACATAAAGCCTGAAAATGTCCAGCTGTGATGGCACATTTTTCATTAATAGGCATAGTTTTCACCTTATGGGCGATATCGGTTAAGTTGTTTCTGAATCAAATATGCTTATCAGGGCTGGTTGGTTGGAGCTCCTTAAACTGGTCAAAACTGTTCTCAAATTGGGCTTCGATAAATAAGCCGTTCAACGTTCTAGGGGGGACATTGTAATCAAGCCTAAGTGATAATGCTTCTATTGCAACGCATCAAGCTGTACGTTCGATGAATTCTTCACGTACTTACTGGGATCACGAGCAATTTGGTTCCTCCTCCTGGTTGTTCGTCAGCAGATTTTCTAAACGAGCAGAGCGATTTTGTCTCGTACGATCAAGAGTTGATTTACGAAAGTTAGTGAAAACAATCCGGCAACACAGAGACAGATCCTCGACCACGGATGGCAAACGTGCATGAGTCTCTAGTAGTTCACAAGTCTGGTTTAAACCGTCTCTAGGTGAGCGGACGCCACACGTCTGAGGTTAGCCGCAGATGGGTTCAACGTGAAGTTGCTCAGATTGCCTACCATCGTCAGATTTCATGTTCGCGCAGACCGCCGGCTTCCTCGATAGGCAAACACCTAGTAGACCCGGGTCACCGGATAGAGTTGGGCTCAACGTTTGAAGTTCTGTTACGTCACACTAATCCCCGCTTCCTTCGGTTTGCTGAGGCCGTCACCATAAGCCGGATTAAGCCAGCCTTGTGCATTCAGAAACAATTATTTGTCAGCCCAAAGCTGCCTTGTACATAGGTGTGAACTTTGGCCATTCGTACTGCACCTTAAGCTTGTCTGGTTGCATCCATCTATGCATGGCGGTTATTGTTAATGGTACTGAGGAGACTATACGAAATGCATGCATCTACCAGCCTTCATCTTCTTTCCGTGCTTTTCAAATTGTTGAAGGGAACTAACTGCTTTATAATTCTGAGTGCTAGTGGGCTAGTTGGCACAAGCTACTAGCGTTCATGGGTTCGATCCTCCGTAGAGGACCGAAGATTGCGCACCAGTGCCGAGCCCCAATATTGCGAAAACGTCGTCTGGGGCTTTTCCGGATAAGTAGTTGACTTATCTGCATTGTCGGCTAACTGCGACAAACAAAAATACAACATAAATTGTTATATATATCGTTTATTTTAATGTTGTTTGAAAGACGGAATGATTTTGTGTCTGTTTCCTCAAGAAGGGATAACACAACTCAACACTTTTGGGTTATCTACTAAAGAAACAGTCATTCAATCAAGAAACTCCGTGCAACCTCACTACATCGGGATAGTACTCACTGAAGGTTACACGTTTAGTCAATCATTTTCCACAGCTTTCTCAGGTCCGGAGTCCCGGCGACGACACCTTCCTCGATACCGCATTCATTCTCTCCTCGAAGAAACCGAACATATCCTCCTTCTCCCCATGTCGCGCCCCAAGAGTTCGCAACAAGCCAATAAGGCACTCCGTTCTCCTCTCCCCAGCCGACGATGCGTACAGCGTGTCCGCCTTGGTACCCGCCCCACGCATGGAAATAGATGCCACTGCGATATCCCATAAAGTCAGCGTACACGTCAATCGTAGCTTCAACAGGTCCGTGTTTCTTTATTTCCAACATGATATCATTGGCATTTGATGGAACGTTATAAGACGCGGCACCTGATAAGGGTGTTGTAAAATGCAGCAAAAGAGCATGCCGGCGTCATGCATACATATGGCACTGTGGAGAAAATTCCAGGAACTCTACTTTAATGATGCTGAATGTGCAAGTTGTTTGAATTCAAAGGGTTCAATAATATTTTGACTGTCTTAATTGGAAATCCAGTATCTAGTTTAAGTGAAAAGCAGCATTTCTGTGTATCCGTTTAATGGAAGTCTAAGATTTAAGTATCATTTAGACACAAGTAACCGTCCCTGTTTTCGATAAAGCCCTTTCATAAGTGACTAACAGCAGCCAAGGACCTTACTATCATGTTGAAGGCGACGTGGTAGTTGATACATTCCATTCGAGTAATTCCTATTACCAGAGATGTTGTCGTAAAGAATCCGGAAGTTTCTCATTGCCTTCAGTGATGCAGTCGAGGCCAAGGTGAATCAGACTACTTAAATCTAGCGGTTTACAAAGACATACAATTGGAACGTTGAATCTCATAACAAGGATGCATGTAGCAAAGCCTGAGGAGTATCAGATTGCTCAACATGTACACTCGCCATGTCAACGTTTGCGTCTTAGTAGTCTCCCATACAGACAATCAAGGGAATTGACTGACAAAAATAAACTTCTCATCAAAAGTGTCATCAAAGTTTCTCGTCCTGTAATGTATCCTGATTTTCACATATTAATCAGACTTTTCAAGCCTAGAAATCGATATATTTACCATATCAAGCCCACAATAGTTTCGTGTTTCTAGCTCCTCGTATATGGATTTTTGTCTGCCTTTATTCTCCTGTACTGATAACACTACTCTGCTTGTAGCTTCCGCGGACGTCTTCAAAATTATCATATCATACTATTCCGCTTACCCAACCTTATTTCCCAATGTCCTAAGTAGAGCAAATAAGCCATGATTTATTTCATCACATGCATGCATTCCGATATTGATGTCGAATTTCCACGAGGTATCCTCGTGATACTACTCACCCACTGCACGATATGCCTATTCCTCCTACGCTGTTAAACACAAACTTTTGTTCCCCTTGAATCAACCGTATTATGGTTCCGTGTTACTATATTTTTCATACTTGCTCGTCCAGCCAACAGGACTAGTACATGAATTGCGTGAACAAAATGTGCTTTTACTGCGTTCCTTTTATCACTTTGCATTGGTATTTCTTATAAAAATTAGTGCAATCATTGATAGCCACATAGCTAATAGTGCAGACATACGAATGTCTGAACCTTATATATGGACTTGTTTCGACGTGATATTGTCCGTGGAGCAGCTGCCTTATTTCAGGTTCTTTGTCAAAAATTCGTCACCCCGTATCGAGCACATTGGCTATGGCCCACCGGATCTGCTAAAGTATCGCGGAATAAATGACAGTTGGGAGTAATATGTTGCCGCTGACATGATTACCCAGGTATTTCAGTGTTCACCGCACTTATCGCGGCATCCCATCGCATTCTTACCAGAATTGTTTTGCATGTTATTTGTACTCAATTCTGCTGAGACAATATAGCAATAGTGTAGATATCATTCTGTGTATTTCAGCAAGTTATAGAGCAGGAAGGACTGCCTTCACTTTGCTTCTAATCCCTGCTTCACCAAGTTTTTCAACGTTTCTTTCTGGAACGACCTTAGTCACAATATCTTACCTCAGCCGGACCTGCTTTCTATTGACACACTACAAAGGATAAGGACAATATATAACAGATGACATTTAGGAATTAATTTTTAATTGGATTAGGACCTGTTGTAAAATAGCTTCCTGGATGAATTAACCAATGCTCTGGCAGATCCCAATTTTCCCATGTCTAAATGAAGAGCGCATCAAGTGCGAATCCTTTTTGAGTGCAGGGTTACGAATAGGTTACACATAACAATTATTCCATTTACGATCGGCCCCACAAAACCATTTACAACACAAAGAGTGTCTTGGTCCAAATTAATGTCGCGTCTGATACTCTATCTGCACATCCGGTAAATCAAAGCAGAGTAGTTACGAAGTTAACATTTGCCTAATGGATTTTTGGAGGGGCAAAATTATTAGTGGTGAAAACAATATTACAGGTTATCAATCTGGTGGACGAGTTTGTAGTAACCAAATGTGGTAAGAATGTGATTAACGTGACCGTGTCCTATGTTTTAAGAGTTAATCACCCAGTACCAACATTCACTTCCTTACAGATACTACATTACAATGGTGTCTCGCCATTGAGGATCCGGTCACTTGTCGCAATACTGTGGTCGATATACATGAGATGCTGCCTAGTACTGTTTCCTGCAGGCTAAACACATTTGCGTCCGGAGGTTGTCACTCGGATAATATCCTGACCGGTGTTTAGTGGGCTTGCTTTATTCGCACGCATTTAAGTGGGTGGTTATGCAACCACTGAGGAAGAAGGTGGTCAAGACGATATTGACATTATTCATAATCATCAAGAGGTTGGTCAGCTAAGACCGTTTACCTGCGTCTGGAAACGCTGGTTTCCTTACTTTAACCTGGTGCATGAACCCCCTTTCCGTCCATGTTTGAACGTGCGCCAGTATGCCATTTCTCTGTCCTTTCTGATGAAGGTGAGAAATTCTGTATTAGTGCTCACTAAAGTTTGGCGACATTCAGACGGACTGTTAGCCTAGCACCGGAGACGTCAAAGAACTTCAAGCAGTTTGACTAAGTATCACACTCTGTAGGAAAATTCAGGTGACACTGTCGTTTGACACTTCTTGACTTGGGAAGGTTTGACATCGGGAATGATTTAGTTTACTCTCTTCGACACAGCTTGCAATTGCCATTTTGCCAACAGTTAATGTAAGAACAAGCCCAAATTTGAACTCTGCAAAAACAATCCAACAAAGCACTAGGGTCATGCATACTACCTACCTATTACTTGCTTGCTGCGTTCACAATAAACGAGATAACGTACCGTCAGAAACAAGTCGCATGTTCATCAATTATCGGACTGGGCACTACAGTACCCATGCAATAGCAGCTCTACTCAAAAGAACAATTCAAAAAGTATTCTTCTTAGCAACATCTGGTCATGAACGTGATCTTTCCGTTGTCAAGTACAGATAGTGTATTCCATTTCATACTGATTCCAGTGTAGCTTGCGAACACGGAGAACATAATTATGACGCAGTTACGGTACACAGATCAACAGAAAACTAGATCTACGACCAAGCAGATGAATCAACCACCCTGCTAATTTCAAATAGCAGATCAACGGAAGTTTTCTGATGATTGATTGGTTGATAATCTAATATATACGCTTTTCAGCAAGCTGGGAGATTGCTGCGAGCTAGTGTAATAATGCCATCAAAGTGCATCGACCGCACCTTTAAGAAACTCACCAAAGGTTTTACTTGCTGCATAGTCAACGTTCGGTCCGGCACAGAAGTCAAAGCACTGTGGAGTGAAAAAGAACTCTCCACTACAATCAAAAAGCGCTTCCGGCTGCCCGCACGCTGGGAACGGATACGAGCGACAGCCGAATTGGTTCTCCCAAGTGCCCCCCGTAACGATGCCGTTGTTCTTCCAATAGTCCCAAGCCATGGCCGGCCAACCACCGAAGCACCCTTCCCCGCAGCTGGAACAGCAGCTGATCAAATCCACAGCGCTCAAGTGGAACGATACATTTGCTTTGCCCATCTGTAGACTGCGAATGCAAATCCGATCACTCATCGCTGCCACCGCTGCCACAGCCTGTAGAAGGAAGATGATAGGTGGTTGTCAAATGGCGAGGTTTAAATTGGTTGCTCTAACACACGACACACTATGAGGTACAAAGACATACCGCGTGAGTGAACGTTTCCTGTGTGCACAGCGCTGGTTCCTACAAATGAATGGCAATGGCTTTTGCGGCGTGTGATATCCGCTTACGAATATACTTATATCGGTGTTCTGGGGCCTGATTATATATATATATATATATATATATATATATATATATATATATATATATATATATATAGTTGGTGGCATCCGGTTTCGGATTTGCCTGTCAATGTGGTCAGCCACAGGTCACCTGCGCCTACAGAGGGACCATGGGTGGCTTGCGCTGCACCACTCACAGCTCCATCCACACACCCCATATCCAGTGTAAACCCGAAGGAATAAGACCGGAAGGCATGTGGATGGGAGCAACGTTACATCAACGCAGCCAGACCACACTCCTTCACAGGCAAACACAAGCACGATGTAGTTGGGAATCAAGCGCACAAAACGCAGTGGCTGGACCGTAGTCCGTTCCACACTGAGTGCATGAAACCACTGTGTGATCCTAACACGGCCACTAGGACCGTGCACGCCGTCCACTCCAGCAACGACCAACTGCTTGCTGGAGACAGCATGGACGAGGTAGTGAGTACTAGTCAGGTAGACACCATGTCAACATGCACATCAAGCACAGCCACACCGGGAGTATTAACCAACAGGCAATCACTTGACAGAAAGATAACAAAGAAAATAAATCGAGTAATGTGCAAGGAAACGGTGACATAAATCTTAGTCAGTATGTGAAATAACTTGTTTACAAACGAATCCGAGGTAAGTTCACGTGGTCGGAAAGTGTATTTTACGAAAATGCCACAAACAAAATAATGTTATCGAAATTAACTACAATTGGCTTTAGCGACATGTGCAAGTTTATAGAAGAGAGTATAGGTTGGCACTTATTTGAGAAAGAAAAGCATTAGGACAAAATTGAAAGCACACCACATGAAATAAAGGTACCTAGCATGCAAGCACTCGGTTAGTAAATCGAATGCAGTGTACCCACAGATGCTGCACCGGTTCTGCCTATGTTTTCTGCAGGACCCGTCGTCGCTTCGGTTGTCTTCCCGAGTGGCCTCTCTCACGGCTCACTAGGCCTGCCTGAATCAGGCACTCGCGACCGCATGCGCTACAGCGCCATGCGCTCGATGTCGATGGAGTACAACCCATCGGTGCTTTCCGCTTCCGCACTTCCCGCTTCTTCTCTGCATGTAAGATGTCTTTCTCCCGCACTTCAGCAACTACCTTCGTGATTAGATAGCGCCATGCGAGCCGAGCAAGCGCCTTCGATTCCCATGACCTGCAATCACGATTAGAACGTGAGAGGCTCACTTTGATCATGTCCTGGTAACGCAACTTTGGTTTCCCCACATGCCGCTTCCTAATACTCAGCTGACCATACAAGAGTTGTGTCGGTATCCGTGTTGAATCCATACAGCTCAAATGACCGAGGCACCTCAGGCGTCGCAGTAAAAGTATGCAGTCCACTGCATACATCCTACTTTGTCGCAACATTTCTGAGTCAGCAACTCTGTCGCCCCAACTGATGCGCAAAATTCGTCGCAGACACTGCTGCTGGAACCGCTCGAGATATCGCACATCCCGCCGGTACATCGTCCACGTTTCACTGCCGTATAGAAGAACGGACAGCACCATGGATTTGTACACCATCAGCTTCGTGCCAATGGTAAGCTGATGGTTGTTCCACACTCGGTACTCTGGCTTCCCGAATGACGCCGCTGCCTCCGACACGAGTATACGCAGCTCACTGTGCAGCTGCTGATCAGTCGACATCACACTCCCAAGGCAGCAGAAGCGGGAGGCGGTTTCCAATACTTCAGCACCAATACTGATTCGCAACAAATTGAAGCTTGCACTTCCGATGAAGGCTGAAAGAGACAGACAGTTTTGCTTGTGTTGATGGTGAGTCCGAATTTGGCCGATGTCGAAGTCAGAGCACTAGTCATATGCTGCAACTCATTCGCGCTGTGTGCAAAACAATCACAGTCGTCAGCAAACGGCAACATACGGATAGTTGTCTCACAGTCTAGAGTTCTCGCACCGAAGCGACGGATGTTCAGTAACCCACCATCAATTCGGTGCTCCACACGAACATCGTAAGCACAAGCGGCATCAGAACCACAGGATAACATTGCATGAATATATATATTAAACAGGGCAGGAGCTAAGATACAGCTTTGCTTCACACCAGAGACAACTGCATAGTCATCCGAGGTCTCTCCACTCAGCTACACCCTCGCTCGCATACCACTGTGCAGACATTCAATCCAACGTACAAACTTTCGTTGGCAACCAAACGTACCCAACACCAACCACAATGCCTCACGATTCACCGTATCGAATGCCTTGATGAACTCAACAGAAAGCGATTACAACAGCTCGTCTGGTTCTCTGCACTTCTCCTGCAACTGACGAGCCGCAAACACCATAGCTGTAGTGCTGCGAAGCGAACGGAATCCACACTGCTCTTCCGCCAAATTCGGTTCCACAACCTGACTGACGAGGCGGTTGAGCAAGAGTTGGGCAATTGCCTTAATCACAGAACGCAGCATGTTGAGGCCACGATAATTCGTGCAACGTTACTTGCTACCCTTGCCCTTGTACAGTGATAGCATCCTTCAGCTCAGGAGGCACCTCTTCCTCAATCCATACGCGTTGTTTCAAGTGGTGCAGCGCAGTCACCAACGTAGGTCCGCCGTGTTTCAATACTTCCGGAAGGATCCCGTCGGCCCTAGCACACTTGCCGTTTCACAGCAGAGCAAGTGCTCTCTGCGTCTCATCAAGTCTCGGCGTATCCGCCAGATCCGCCTTCACATCGTGCTGCTTGAGACCGTTCAATGTAGGGCAGTCGATATCTGAACGGTCGTTCAAGAGAGATTTGAAGTTATTCCGCCAGATCTGCATTATGTCTACAGTCTGTGTGCAGGTATCTCCTCAACTACCATCGATCAGTGTCCGCAGACGCTCCAATCTTGGTCCACACACCACCTTCAAGGAGTCAAAGAATTCCATGTGTTGGCGTCGTTGGCGTAGCATTCCATCTGCATCGTCTTCTCCGTCCACCATGCATTTTTAGCGCCGAAGCTCTCGGGTCAGTCGTCGTTGAAGTTTGCGAAACTGATTCTTCTACCCTAAGTCCCTGGATTCAGCCACATGTGTAGCAAATGCTGCATTCTTCCCCGACACCAATGCGCCAATCGCCGCATTGTTGTCATCAAACCAATAAGGCTGCTTACAGTTTGCTCCTCTCATGGTCTCCTCGACAGCAGCTGTCACCTGGTCGCAAATGTGGTGCCACAGGTCGCCCACTGTGGCTATGCAGTCCACATCACGCAGGCGTGCAGCCATTACCTTCTTCAGCTTAGTACGCTTCGCCGCAATATCGATGGAGTGAATGTTAACTCTAAGCCGAATCACGGCGGGTGAGCAATACATAGTTTCGAAAATATATGTACAGATTGGCGCGCACCAATTTGTGATCAGTGCCACACTCAATTCCACGCAATACACGTGTCATGCGCACTTCACGCATATCACGCTGACATAGTCGAGCAGGTGAGTGTGACCACTCCGTGGGTACGTCCATGTTGTTATATCACTCGCACTCAGTGCAAACCGAGTATTCGTGCTCGTCAGGCCGTGAGTGGCACACAGTGAGAGCAGCCTGGCACCGTTTGCATTCGCTGAACCAATGCCTTGCGAACCGATAACATCTGCCCACACCGATGCCTCAAGCCCCACGCGCGCATTGAATTCACGCAGCAGAAATTCTCGGTCGCTCTTCGGCACAGACCGTATCAAGGAGGATAGCTGAGTGCAGAATTGATCACGCGAATCATCAGGTTAACACATGGTTGGACCTTACGTGCTTATTAACCTGGCGAACTTACCTCTCCCGAGTCGTAGGCGAACAGTCATCAGTCGCGCGCTGATGCCTGTTGGTTCACCCACCAGCTGGCCATGGAGGCGAACGTATATTGCAAACCCGACCGCATGTCACGTGGTGCTAAGGTGGCGTTCCCCACCCAGTAGAATGTGTAGCCAGCACCTGCTTCATGTAACTTACCTTGCTCAGCGAGCCGAGTTTCACTGAGCACCGCAATATTGATGTGGTAAACCGAGCTCTATCGCGACGAGTGCAGTGCGTCGCTCGGGGCTCTCGATGGAGTTCCGGTCCATTGGTGTGCGCACGTTCCAGCACCCGATGCTGAGTGCTTTGTGCGCAAGCATACGATTGCATTGGTGGGTAACCGCAGGCGAATTGGTCATTGTGCTTTGGAGGTTTGCTTTAGGGACTCCACCCGGAGCCTTTGGCTCAAAGCCTTACCCACAAGGCAGTGGGTGGTTTGGAGGTTTGTTTGAGGGACTCCACCTGGAGCCATTTTGCTCAATAACCTGACCCACAAGGTAGTGGGGAGCAGGTCCAGCTCGGGAATGTGAATGCAGAGACAGATTGGGATCTGCTTGACGGCCGTCGCACGCAGTCTTTGAGGTATTGGAACGATTTATATATGTTTTGCGACCGCAGTAGGATACACCTGCGATTACGGCCAGACGCAGGTGGGTTTTGGCGGGTTTGCACTAGTTTGACCGGGAGCTGTCTGGCTTGAGGCGGGCAGTAGTTAACCATTGGACACCCGGTGCTTCCCTCCCACCGTAAAAGCTAACGCGTGGCGTTCTCCCTCTAAGCTAATCGAGCTGTGAGCTTATAACCGGTAGACCTGTTGTCTCCCATGGCTAGGTTTTACGGGAAGAGGGCCATCACCACTTCTTAACCTCCGAAGAGGATGGACTCGGATACTGGCAGGGCGCCCACGCCTGACAGGAGAACGACTCGGGTCCTAAGCCAAAGACTTTGATTAAATGTATACAAGAAAGACAGCGAGTCTAACACATGCTGATTGGTGTCC